TCGGAGGAGCTGCACTTCTTTGTTCTTCCCTTGGTAGCACTTCAGAGCTCAAAGTATGGGGGACCAGTCGGAAGCAGCAGACAGGGCTGCTCTTTGCTGATCAGTGAACTGAGGGCTTAATTCTGCTCCCATTACAATCATAAAAACAAGGAGTACAAACAGTGCTGCCAATAATGCTGAACTAATATAACATATACATAAAGAAGAAAAACCTTAAGCCTGGAATTTGGGGGAAGGAAGTTGGCAGGTTTAGAAGAATGTTTTCTACCCATCTATTTACTTGTCTATTAACTGTGCACAGATTATAGGCAGATTCCTGTAGGTTATGAGTGGAATCAGAGGCTGAAACCACAGCAATCGATGTAATAGCATAACTGCTAGAAATAGAGGAGATCTGATAAGATAGATGTTCTTAACACAGGGCATTTTCCTGCTTACTGATATTTGGTAGCTGATCCTTATCATCATCACTCCTTTTTACACCACCAAAGCCAGAATATGGAAAACATGAACACTACCATAGAAAAATATCTAAATATTTTAAATGAGCATAATTTATGGGTAGAATGTACCTAGATTTTGTAAAGTTTTAAAAAATATATAAAATAGTACACTGTTATTTTCCCAAAGTGATATTTAATTTGAAGGTTTTAATATTTTTTACTGAAACGGAAGAAATGTGAAATAGGTAAATATTTACTCATAGAAGATATACAGGGAAAGAAATTAGCAATGTGTAAAGGACCATAACCGCAACAGCAGTGGAAGAGTTGAAACTACAATTCCCTAGAAATAGCACAAGACGGGGCAAAATTTAGCTCTGTGCATTGATTTAAATAAAAACCTGCCTGTATGTTGTTAGATCATATTGAAAGTGACATTGTGTTAAGAGGACTCAGCCAGTGAAGTTGCACTGATGCAAGGCAGGGCAGAATGTGGCCCTTCCCATCACATATATTATATATGGGCTGCCTGCTCTCTTCTTTTGTTCTGCTCCATCCTAACGTTAACAGTTGCCTCTATAGTCTGTGCTGTTGACTTCATCCTTGACCCTGCCTTTCTTCTTCTATTTCCTGTGGCTGCAGGTAATTACTTCTGCTAGCATGTTATCCATCTATTTCTCATAATTTCATCCTCACTGAAACCTCCCACTAAGAAAAAAAACAATCTGATATTGTAAGCTATCCTCATTTGAAACACTTGTATTTACTTCACACGTTTCTTCATGTAAATGCAGAACAGAAACCAAACGCTACCAAGTAAGACCATGTAATACATGCATTTGGTATTGGCTTGCATTGCACGCACACAAATGCAATTAAAGACAGAGGAAAATCAGGTTTCATTGGCCAGTCCAATGCAAGAGTCCCATGCCCTGGGATGAACAGAGCCTCTACAGCACAGAATATCCTGTGACAAAGGGTTTGTTTTGGTGGAAACAAACAAACAAACAAAACAACACACACACACACAAAACCACCAGCAACAGTGAACAATAAAAGAGGAAATTGGGTTGTTGTGGAGAGGAGCTGGCTACCAGAAGACAAGCTTCAGGACCAGCCTAGAGATTCCTGTAGCTAGGGCAAACATGAAGGCTTCTGGGCAACTCCTGACTACAGATGTAACGTTTCTGTGCTTTAGCCCCTCGATTAAGCACTATGCTCTATTCCGTCCTTGGTTGTTCACGCACTAGCACTGAGCAAGACACTGTCCCTAAGCTGCATCTGCCCTCACTAAAAGCCTTTCTTCTACCCCTTTATCCCATCCTACTAGTTTCCTACTTGTCTTCACACCTTGCATGAAAATACCTGTTTTTGACTTGTCCCTTTTATTTTGCCCCAAATTCCTGTTAACACAGAATCAAAACAAAAATGAGAGCGACTGGTATGACAGAAAGCAACATCTAAGGAGAGCCATGGAGCCACACAAATGTCGGTTTATTACAACATCCGTGCCGCAGCCGGTAAGGAGTCAACACTTCACCTCTCCGCAGCGCATGCGCTTGTCACTCGGTCGCCAGCAGCTCTCATGGGCTAGGTATGAACTGCCCCCAGTGCCTCACTCGTTCCCTCTTCAGGAACGCTAGGTGGAAATCCATTTCCAGTCAGACAAAATAACTACAGTCCTTCTCTGGGCTATTCATCAAATAAATTCATTTCCTTTTCCAGTTGTCTTCTTAACATCAGGCATCTTAGAAACGTATTTCAGTTTTCAAAAATAAGTATCTAGGACTTGCCGCTTTCTTGAACAGTGACATTATTTTTCACCCACTTAACTCATCATTTTCATATTTTGTAGCTATAATAGGAAGCAGTTGCATAATCTGCTCACATATTTCTGTAGTTGTGCCGTACGGTCCTGTGGTTTGCATACCATGTTGTGGAGCACAAAAATAACTGTCAGAGCAGAGTCGTCCAAATTCTGCCCCGGAAAGCTCATGTAGAAGCCAAACCCTCTGCTTGGATCATGGCCACGCCAAATTACAGCACAAAAACATTTCCTCACAGAGAATATAAAGGAGATCCACAGCCTCCAAAAATGGGAGTGTGACTTGAGGAAATGTGGGAGGCTGTTGGGAAAACACATGTATTACAGTCCACCCTACCAAAACATAAACTACTACAGAAAGCGGGCAACACTTGCTGCCCACGGTCCCACTGAGGGAGGCAGCAGGGCAGCCAGGGTGGCCGCAGCCCTGCACTCCGGGCTGATCCCTGGGGATGGCCCGAGGCCACCGGAGCCTCTGCAACACTTTGGGGTAGGTGGGACACCCGGCCAGGCCAGGCCAGGCCAGGCCAGGGGTGCACTGGGGACCAGGGCCTGGGCAAGCTGGGGGAGATTCAGGCAGGTAGCCTGGGATAGGGAGGGCTGGGGGTGCCCCCAGTCCAATATAGGGTCCTTCAAAGTGGCTGCAAGCTGTTTTGGGGGAGTGCTCATTGCTGCTCTTCCAAATGCATTGGCCCATCTAGCAGCTGCTGCTGACAACATCCCACAGCCCCGGCCGATGGCTTCAGGAAAGCCTCACATGTGTTTAAGGTTAGGTTCGCGCTTAAGTGCTTGGCTGGATAAAGACCAACATAGCTGCTTGCAAATCCTTCTTTCGCAGGCAAAGACGTGAAGAAAAGCCATGTATGCAGTCATAGTCTGTTTTCTTAGTCTGGACAAGTTTAGGATGTCAGGAGATTTCCACAAGACCCGCTCCATTGCCTTGTTTCCAGAGAAGCTCTGGAATCAGCCCATATCCCATTGGACTGGTGCAGAATGCAAGCTGTCAACTTTTCCCACAGAACATCTTCAGCACCACGCACAAGCTGAGGCAGCCCAGACTGACTGCAGGCCTCCTAACTTAGAACAGTTTTACTAGGGCAGATTTCAGAGGTTACAACACTGCTTGGACTACAGCACAGTGAAGTAAAATAAAATAAAAATCGAAAGCCTGTGAGCTGATGCCAGGGCTGCAGACCAGCACCTCTGCCCAAGAGAGGTGCAGCATTTCACCCATACGTTTCTCCCTGGCCTTTCTGATAGGCTCTTATGCATCCTTTCATTATGCAAAATTATTTCAGCATGTATAGACCAAAAAAAAGGTATTATCTAGCTTTGCTTCTTTCACAGGCAGTTTCTGGAACTTAAAGGCAGTGATGGGTTTAATTCTTTTTCCAGAAAGTGCCTCTACCAAGGAGAAATGCATACAAAAAGGAGTATGTCATCTGGATAACCCAATGTTTTCATTACAATCACATAACATCTAATTATGTACTCCATAAATCTTCATATTTTGTTAGGAAGCTCATAATAGCAAAGTCTGATAAATAGATTCTCTCCCCTGGCCACTACCAACTGAGTAGAAAAAAATACTTATTTATGAAGCTTTATTAATAAAATGTGAATAATTCAAATAGCTTCTTCAGTGAAGGAACAGCAGTAGAGTATATTCTTATTTGCATATAAATGAAATGATGCTTTAGTGTCAGAGTGAAGAATTAAATAATATGAATTTTTACAGTGCAATCCTGACAGCCTCATAAATATTACGGTCATAAGTTGCAGTTTCCTAAAATCTCATTTTATCTTTTATTACAAAAATATGACCAAAGGGCTGAGTCCTGCTCATTTTACATGTGTGAGTATTCCCAATGACAACACAATTATTCAGTAAGTGAGGTTACGAGATTCAGCCTTATGTCAGATAGTGAAGCAAAAGCACAATGCTATCTACATATCTATTAGGGAAACAGAATCTCTTATTTAACCATGGAAAAACAGTAATTTTTGGTAGAGAACAAAGAAAATTGCACTGCTGTACATTCAAACAGATGCTTCAAGTACAGATAACATACAGTACAAGGAAAGGAAAAACACTCAGCTAATAAACATAACAGCCCAATTTTCACCCTTAGTTCTGTAGGTGCCATTTTGGCCAAGCAGAGTATTCTTGCTAAGCTGTGAGTAATCACTAAGGTTGCATCAAATCTAAGAATATTCAAGTTATTTTAAAGGAATTTTGCAGCTGAGGAAAGCTTTGATTTTCCCTTTTAAAGCCTGAACAATTTTCTGAGGCACAATCCCAGACCAGTTCTGCTCTCTTGCTTTTAGCTGTAGTCTCAACCATTTGCTGAGGCACTTTTGACACGTGGGCCCAGCGAAGACTGCAGCATGATAGTCTCATTAGGAAGAACTGGACTCGGATGGAGATTGCTGGGCTGAATTGCATTTTTTCTATGTGTCAGGTAGAAGCAAGGGGTAGGGGCACTACTTGAGAAGCTCCTCTGAGATGCTGAGTGATTTGAGTGAGCTGGGACAAGAAGCTGATGCTTCTGAGCTACTTTTCCTTTATCTGTAAGTGGTATTTTTTGGGCTACAGTATTGAACAAGTGTGATAGAAAAGTTTAATGAAGAAAGAACATACTTGGAAAGGAAAACTTGACCTGGCGTGGCAGTAGGAAAAAAAAAAGTATTTACAGAGTTTGGGAGATTTTATAAAATAGAGATTTACTTACAAACTTCAGAAAAGATGAACTTCAGGTGAAAGATGTCAGAAACGACACTGGAGCATCTGCTCTGATATCCTGTAAGTTATACACAATGAAATTTAACCCAATTACTCCCAAACAGAGCCTGCTATAGTCAAACACAACATCAGCTTTATTTGGCTGAACTGCTTCTTACAGGACAGCATCCAATCTTGATCTGAAGATATCAATAGCTAAAGAAATTAAGCCACATCCCCTACCTGTTTATTACAGTGATTAATAATTACTAGAGATTCCACCTAATTCGCTCTTTGAATTTGATTTATTCCAGACATTACTTCTTCTTACATTGCTCTTTGCTAGATTCAAGAACTGTTTTTACTCAATATTTTGTCCTAGGTACACAGTTACCAACTCATTTTTCAATCTTTTTGATTAGATGGATAGATATTTTTAAACTAAATCCATTTTTTTGCATCATTTTTGAAATCTGAGCATCAGATCTGCATATACCACGTCTGAATCATCCTCAGGAATTTTCATGTAAAGGTAAAAGAAGCCACAATTAGTGTCAAACTCTTCTTGCTACTGCATCACCCTTCGTGTTCAGTCACTTGCCAGTTGGCTCCTCAGTGCTTTGCAAAGTTCTCCAGCGTGTAGGCATAGCCTACATTCATTATTCTTAGGTGCTAAGTTTTGTTAAAACAAAAGGCTGTATTAAAATATATTTTGCTTGGATGGAACCCAATTTGCAAAAGGTCAAGAATTCCTCTGCATCTTTTCCTGAGGTCATTTTTACATCTATTTTTAACTCACTCTGTGTGAGTGTAGTGGCTGCTGTATTCTGGTATACTTTCTGACACCACAACAACTCTTGACATTTCAGATAGGACAGGCTGATCAGAAAATACTGCCATAGACAGTCACAGCCACGTCCAAGGGCATTATTCTAGAGCTTGGCAGCATCATAAAGCTCTCATCTGCATGAGAGAACAAATCAATCTCACCTTACATGTAAATAAAGTACTAAAATTAAAGTCAAAAAGATTAAAGTATGGAAATGGTAAATAAAAAAAAAAAAAAAAAAAAAAAAAACCCTAGTCCCTTGGCTTTCAAAACAATCGCTTTGCATTACTGCAAGACTCGTGAGTTCTGAATGATTGAATTTGACAGTATTCCTGAAGGGCACAACAGCATGAAGAGATTTGTCTCAACCTGGTGCTAAAGAGAGAAAAAAAATGCCATAGAATCTTATTTCGAAAAAAAAAAAGAGGAATTAAAAGTTGGGAAGTTGACTTTTAGCATACGATATTAAGGCTAGTGAAGACTGAATAACACACTTAACAGTTAATTCTATTACTCAAATAGAATTCTGTATGTGTGTATGTCTAAATACATGTGGATTTACACATTCATACATACACATAAATGCACATATATATATATACAAACATATAGTAACTGCTAGGGCAATAAGTATCTGCAGCTTGTTGGTTCAAAGTAGTTTCTAACTTCTGATTCTAAGTTTCTAATTTATGAGCAGATGTTCTTGGCAGCAGGGAGAGCTTAGGCTTTCCTACCACTGTCTGCGGTGGAGTCTTTCATCAATTATCTCCCTGGCTCTCTTCTCTCTTTACTGCTCCAGGAAGAGGTTACCAGACATTTTCCAGTGTCAGCATGGATTCCTTTATGGCTGTCAGCAGATTGAGGGGGAGAAAAAAAAAAAAGTTCAATTCACCTGCAGATTCTGGCAGTGTTGGATGCAATCACACAGCAACGTTTTGATCATTTCTTCTCAGAGAGCTCCCAGAGGTTGGTTTTGGCAATTGCTTGCCTGCCTTAAGCAATGCTCTTCGTCGTTTGGCTTCTAATCCTATAGATTCAACATAAGAGATAAAGTCACAGGAGAAGGCAGTCTGGCTTGCAGAGCATTGGACGTGCCATTTTGTTTACCAGATTTGGTTGACGGATTTTTATTTTACCTTTGATAAGCTCCTAACTTGGTATGTTGTAAGACTGGAAGCTCAGTACTGAATGAGAACTTTCTCTGCCTTAGCAGCAGAGAGATATTTCTGCTTACCCAGTTTGAATGAAAAGATGGCATTTCTCATGTTTTAACAAAAGCGAAGCTTTGCTTTTACCAATTCCACATTTATTCCAAATAAGAAAAGCAACCTAGAGAAGATATAGTGAAAAGAGTCTACCTGATCTGTCACTCCTGTGAAGCACATGAAGAAAGACATTGATGAAGAGGTGAGTTTTAAAAAGAACTTCATTTGAGGAGAGTCATGGCCAACTTGATAGAAGTTTCTCTGTAGAAACTCAAGATGCAGGAAGACAAATGTAGGCCAGTGTCAAGAATGGCATTTCTGTCAGACTGGAAAAAAAAGGTAAGACAGTAAGATAAAACACAGCATCAGATTATATTACAAGTTATCAGCGTAGGTAAATGACAAGCTAAATGATACAGATTTTGGTGTTGGAACAAAACCAGTCTGAGATATTACTGCACCAGGAAGATAAAGTGAAAGGCATTTCTCACTGTGAATGAATACAATCTGAACGACAAGGGGAAAAAAAAAAAAAAAACAATAGTATTGACACAGTATCAGCTAAGAAATGCTAGTAATGGAAGCTCTTCAAAAACACTGATGATAAAAAAGGCTATTCTACATTATCAGAACTCAAAGGCACAAAGGGAGACCATGGAGGCAGGCTGCAATTCTGAACTGGCCAGGAGGCAGCAACTCAAGCAACCTCCAGATACTTCACAAGTATTAATTTGAACTATTAACGCACTGTATATAGCGTGCAGAAATAACTGCAGGTAGGCCATCCTACAGGGTTAATTTAGATTGATGGCATCTGTCATCAGCACTAGGACAAGTTTGGTCTCATTTATGCTTATGCAATCCTTCCACCTGACATAGGATTTCATGGGTAAAAGAGAGAACAGAATTTCACTTGCATTATTCTGTCATTATCCCTTATTTAATTTGTGTTTGCTGTAATCTGCTCTTAAATACTCTCACCTTTAACTAAAATTGTTGAGGGCACGCTTCAGCTAGCTCAATGTCTAGCCGCTCCGCTGGCTGATTAGAGCTCTTAACAGAATGTGCAAATTAGAACAACTGCTGAGAAAACAAAAACAAAAACAAATGAACACAAAAGAGGCTGAGCAACATGTGTCAGCAAGAGACCTAGTGTTCTCAAAGGCAGGACAGCCAGCCTTTAGTGTTAAAGAAAGATATTAAGTTAGAGCAAAAATAGAGGAAGAAGAATATAGGAATATATATAAAGAAGAATAGAGGAATATATATAAAACAAAAAGCGAAGTGCCAAATTTCTGAACATGAGCACACAACTGCACTGGCTTCAATAAAGTTCTACCACTTTAAACAGCAAAACACAATTCAAGCAAACAGCCTCTTTTTCCTGGAGCTTTTCATTGTTTCTTGTCAGAGTTTGGGGCCAAACGCTCCGCAATAGCTGCGGAACGGTGGGCGGGATGCCCAAGGAACGGCTCCAGCGCCCGCGGGCGCTCCTGGCCGCGGTGCCGGGCGCGGGACACGGCTCCCGGCGGCCGCCAGCTCCAGCGCTCGGCCCTGCAGCGCGGCCGGGCGCCAACGATCCCGGCGGCGGCCGCGGTGCCTCCGCAGCCCGGCAGAGCCGCGCGTGGGGGTCTCGGTTACCTCGTTGGCACCCGGGGGGCTGGGGCCTTTTGGGGTCTGTGACCCGTGACCAACAAAGTCACGGATTTCTTGCCAAGGGCCTACAAGCTCGTGAAAACAAACCTGTTGTGGGTAGGGCTAACCCTACTCTACAAACGCACAGATCTGAACAGTTGAAAACCACTAGTCTCTTCCCTTTCACAGAAGGAAAGGCACAGAACTTTCCTCACTACTGTCTGGTGCTTGCCCGTGCCATGACCGGGGCTACAGCGCAGCCCAGGCTCTGTTTACTTTTAATTTTGCATTCTGCGCAGTCTCTTTTACGGTGCAGTTGGGCGCTGGGATAATCAGCCGTCACTTCCCCGTTACCACTGCCGCAAAGGGAGCTCTTTGGGGAGCCCCCAGCGCCTATCCCGCCTTGCGGCAGCGCTGGGCACACCCAGGCCTCTCCCGTGCCGCTGCAGCTCTGCCATGGCCACGGATGGGGCTCACGGAGTCCAAAGGGGCCTGCATAGGGCACGGACACCCGCAAGGACACGGACCTGGGGACCGGCAGCCGCACGGGGGCCGGCGCGTTGTCAGGGGCCCATTCCTCCATCCTCTCTCCCGAGGGCTGCCACAGAGCCCGAGCGGCAAAACCGCCGCGCGGGCCGGGCCTAGGCGAGGGCAGGGGCGGCACCAAACCCGTGCTGCACGCTCCGTGCCGCGCGCTCCGGGCCGCGCGCTCCGGGCCGCGCGCTCCGCTCCCGGGCCGGGCCGAGCCGGCTCCACCGCCGCGGAGCCCCAGCTCAGCCCCACCGCCCCGCGCGCGCCTTGGGCGGGACGCCGTCCGCCCGCTGGCCAATAGCCGCGCGCCTCCCCTCGGCCGGCCGCGCCATTGGCCGGGGCGGCACCGGGACCGGCACCAGGCCCGATACCGGTACCGGGGCGCGTGTCCCGGCACCAGGCCCGATACCGGTACCGGGGCGCGTGTCCCGGCACCAGGCCCGATACCGGTACCGGGGCGCGTGTCCCGGCGCGCTCGCTCCCGCCTGAGCGGGCGCTGCTCGCGGCCTCCCGAATGGCGCGCTGAGCGCGCGCGTGGCTCGTGCCCCGCGGCGGCCTGCAGCGCGGCTGCGAGCTGCGCGGGGCCGAGGGCGCCGCGTCCCGGGGGGCCCCAGCGCGACCCTGGCCGCGCCGCGAGCCCAGGAGCTGCTGCGGAGGGGGAGCAAAAGGAAAGGCTCCCGGCGGGACTTAGCCCGGCTGCTTAAGTGACGAAACTGAGTCATTTACCGTCACCTCGGGTCGTCGTGCCCTGGGCCGTCCCCAGCAGTCGTGGTCCTGTTGGGAGACGTTGTGTTTTAGTGATAATAGACAGGGATCCAGGGAACATCTCCTGCCGAGCCAGTAGAGCAGCAACGTCACCAGCCCTGTGTGAGAGCCCAGTACCTGCCTGGGAGCACCTGGGGGATGCCGGAGCATCTCCGTTTCCTCCCTTTTTTGTTTCAAGCTCTACTGGTGTCTGTGACTAAATATCCCATTATTCCATTCTGTAACTGCTAAAGGTCCTTCCAAATCAGAGTCTCTCATTTTTTTACATATCTACATATTCTAGGCATTCAGTCCTGCAAACATCAGCTCGTGTGCTCAGCAGAAACGGCCCCTTGAGAAGCCAAATCCCATTCCCCCGCTCGCTTGGCCGGCCGGCGCTGTCCTCTTCATGTCCCAGGGAGGCTGGTTGAGGCTGGAGTGAGGGATGAGGCACAGGCTGCCCGGGGAGGCTGTGGAGCCCCCTTCTCTGGAGGTCTTCACAACTTTGAACATTCGGCAAAGTCACAACCAAGGAGGTTCTCTAAGTGGATAGTGTGTCACAGATGCCAGCTCACCTGTCACTGTGGTATTCCCTGGCGTTCTGCCTCTTTCCTCCTCTCCATGAATTAGAATGAGCAGTTTTTGAATTATACACTATGAGTAAATGTAGGTGCACTGCAGCTTTCTTTTCACTCTTACAGCTCATTTAATTTCTGAGATTGGGGAAGAAGCATTTCAAGATGGCATGTATGCATTTCTTGTCATGGTGAGAAGCAAAACAAGAATTACGCTTCTTGATGATCTTCTCTAGAAGAAAAAGAAATCTCTTACCACATTAAGAAGATAATCATTTTCCTCTCATATAAGTTGTCTCAGGAGTTTTTGCATGTGTGTTTTGTTTTTGTGTTTTCTTTTTTCAAGTTACTAAATGTTTTTATGGGTGTTGCAGTATGCAGATATTTGTGTAGCTAAGTTCCTTGCTTTCCAAAGCAAACTTTCAGGAAAGGACAGTGCCTTAATGTGAATGAGTAAACACTGTAAAGATGAAAGAAAATCACTTGTCTAAGCTCCTCCTGCAGTCTTCCTTCCCTTCCTTTTTCTTTCTTGGAGTTAGAGTGGGTTTCCTGGTTTCATTTTTCTTTTTTTGGAATGATGGGTGAGCGTTTTTAGTTGTAAGTGGCACAGAGGAATTCCAAACTCCCTCAATCTCATTTCAGGAACTGTGTGAAGGGGAAGGAAGTGCATTACCAGACAGGTTTGCTCCCCTAGGTGTCCGAATGTGCTTCTCAAAGTTGTGATCTTTCTTTTAGTCCAGGTTACTTTTGGAATGGAGACCATGTTGAAGTCCCCTTGTGAGGAACAGCACCCTCGTGAGGCTGAAGATTCCCATAGGAAGCATGAGCAGAACAACAAACTTTCAGGTATGTGCCAAACCAGGGACTGCTAATACTACTTTTTGTTGCTGACGTGCTTCCTTCTCACTTCAGTTAGTTTCAGGATGGATTTTAAGTTTGTATATGATTTTGTTGTGCAAACAATTTGAAGTTGCTTTTAATTTCAAGCATATTCCTTCTTTCTGCATAGCTACAAAACTTCAGAAGCAATAGCTGTCACAATTTGCTGACCCTATTATTTATTACAGCATATAAAAGGATGCTAGTAATCCGAAATGGCAGTCCTTGAAAATGAAAATTTCTGACCAGACAAGTAAACAAGATTAATATTTTGCCATTTACCTTATAATAGCAAACTTCATCCTTAAGTATCTCTTTACATATGATTAGGTGCATAAAGATACTGTTCTTGCCCTTAACAGCGAAGCTGGACTATGAACAGGTGCGCCTATAACGTTTGTGCTGCTGGCTTTAGAGTTTCTTAGTGAATCTGGGCTTTCTGTACATAAACAGAAAGCCCAGATTGTCCTCGCTTAATAACTGAATAGTCAGCCAGCTTACAGGTAACGATTACTGCTTTTGGTAGAAACAGATAAACATTATCAGTCTCCTACACATCTATGTTCAGAATTTAATAAAATGATACTAAAAAACCCAACTTTCTCACTTCCATCTGGCAAGTACTTTTGCATCCTAGTAAGTCAAGGAACGGCATTAAAATCTGCTCACAGAAATTTTTGGATATTGTTGTTATTATACGCTGAGAGTACAGTACAATGACTATATATATATTATATATATATTTTGTTAACGGCTGTATCTATAAATGTATATACACACCCAACAGGGGAATCAGGCCCAGAAGAAAACAGACGATGTTTGAACTGCTACCTAACCACAAGGCAAGCCAAGCCATTCAGGGCTTTTACACTAAACACAGTGTCGAGTTAGTGCATTTTCTCAGTGCT